GGTGGCTGAGATGACGGAGACGGCGGAGCGAAGAACAGTCGCGTCAGTGCAATGCCACCAGCACCAGTAGCTCTAGGACCTTCAGTAGCTCTAGCACCCCCAGCGCCAGTACCTCGAGGACCAGCGCCACCAGCAGCAGCACCCCCAGAACCGGCACCTCCAGTCCCAGGGTCTCCAACCTCAGTGTCTCCAGTAGCAGCACCCCCAGAACCAGCACCTCCAGTCCCAGGGTCTCCAGCCTCAGTGTCTCCAGCAGCAGCACCCCCAGACGCAGCACCTCCAGCCCCAGCAGCTCCAGTACCTCCAGTACGAGCACCTCCGGGACCAGCGACTCCAGCACCTCCAGTAGACAAAGTACCAGCACCACTCCCAGCTCCAGCGACGTCAGCAGAAGTACCTCCAGCGGCAGAGCCCCGAGCTCCAGCAGCGCGACCCTGACGGTGACCGTACCAGTCGTGCAGCTGCTGTGAGGTGAGAGGCGTACGCGGACGAAGGCGGCCACTCCACGGAGACCGCGCACAAGCAGTCGCAGTACCCTCAGGCGCCGCACCCTCAGACTCAGCACCCCCAGGCTCCTCACGCTCAGGCTCAGCACCCCCAGACGCAGTACCCCCAGGCTCAGCACCCCCAGGCTCCTCACGCGCAGGCTCAGCACCCCTAGGCTTAGCACCTCCAGGCTCCCCTCGCTCAGGCTCCGCACCCCCAGGCTCAGCACCCCCAGAGACAGCACCCCGAGCAGGACCACCCCCAGCAGGACCTGAGTCACCAGTGACCTCAACAGGCGCAGGCACAGGAGGGTCTACCTGAGAAACACCTGAAGGAGTAGGACCTGGCGCGGAGAGGGGGTCTACCTAGGGAGGACCTGGAGCGAGAAAGAGCGGCGAGGGGGGGCGAGAGGCAGTGCGGTAGGGAAAGAGACGGTAGAAGGGAACAGACTCGTCAAAGGTGATGTTCTGAGACGCAAAAATACGTCGCGAGGTGGGGTCGTAAAACTGCCAGCCAGGCGCATCAGGAGGAAAACCAAGGAAGACGCAGGGAATGGCGCGAGCAGAGAGCTTGTCCGCGGTGAGATCGCGGACAAAGGCACGAGCACCCCAGACTCGGAAACGCGACGCATCGCCAACCTCCCCCGTCCACAGCAGCGTGGGCGAGGTCTCCGGCAAGGAGACACGGGGCCAGAGGTTGAGCTGATGCGCCGCGTACCGGACCGCAAACGGCCACAGAAAATGGGGAGCCGCCGCATGGATCATGGAGGTACGGGCGACCTCCATGACTAAGCCAATGCGGCGCTCAGCAATCCCATTCTGCTGCGGAGAGGCTGGAAGCGTGAACGACTGGCGGAGGCCATGCTCCCCACAAAAGGCCTGCAAGAGGTCGGAGGTGAACTCACCACCTCTGTCAGAGTGCAGACGCAGGACAGGAAAGTCCCGCTCGAACCGCTCGCGGAGCTGGAGACGAACAGCGCGGATCCAAGGGATCAGGACAGCAGGGACATCCGCCTTGCGCTGCAAGGGGAAGACCGTGGTGTAACGCGTGTAGTCATCGACAACCAGCAGGAAGTACCGCTCGCGGCCCTGCCCCTGGACGCGGGCTGGGCCCCACACGTCCAGGTGAAGAGTCTGCAGCGGAGCCTCTGTGGGAGGGAACGAGGAGGAGTGAGGAGCGGCGCGCTGCCGCCCCTCGACGCAAGGAATGCAGGGCGGCGCAGGCAAGGGAGGGAGGGCAGGCAGAGACCTGGGAAGACCAGAGACCAAGGAGCGAGAGTGCATGCCACGAAGGCGAGGCAGGGAGGGGTGACCAAGGCGGTGGTGCCGCAGGAGAGTGTCGTGCGACAGGCGACGACACTCACACTGGGTAGCTACCTGAGCAGACACGTACAGCTGTGGAGACAAAGGGGTGTAGCGTGAAACAGTGGTGAGGGTGTACAGACTGGACCCAGGCTCACGAGTGAACGTGGCCAGGTGGTGGCCAGTCTTGGAGTACGTGAGGATTGCCACACGCTGTCCTCCAGGAGTCCAGGTGTCAACCCAATTATCCTGGAATGACGGCGTTGCTCACCAGGTTCGTAGAGAATGAGAAGATGTGGAGACCTGACAGCTGACCAGACGGGACCGCCAGGCACGGAAGCACAGTCGTGGCTCGTGCAAGCACTGGGCCCCAAGAGGGGTCAGCCAGTGAGACAGGGACAGGTGCAGGGAGGGGAGTGACTGTGGTGCTGTCGCGAAAGAAGCAGCGGGAGGCACCAGAGTCAAGTCTAAACGTGTGCAAGGCATGAGTCGACCTAGTACCAGGGGGAGCAGACACATTGGTACCTAGGGCTGCAGCCCCAAAACCTGGATCAGGCGGCATACACAAGTAGCAGTCACCCTCAGCACTAACAGTCAATGCATACATGGCAGCAAGAATAGCATCATAGTCAAGATCAAAGATAGGAACACCACGCCTAAGCAGGTCTGCCCAGTTGGGCAACTCAGTAATCGCAGGAAACTTGACGCGCCAGGCGTCACTAAGCCGAGCAAAGCAGCGATACTCAGTGTGCAGACCATTGCATGGGCGACCAGCGCGGGGACCTGCGCGAATGATATAGGGGCAGTGACCAGGACCCCCAGACGCCCCACGCCCCGCATACCAGTCATGGAGCTGCTGGGACGAGGGGGCCTGGCGCTGTCGCTGCTGCTGCTGCTGCTGCTGCTGCTGCGGCGGCTGCTGCTGCTGCTGCTGCTGTCCCTGGCCACCACTGCTGCCACCACCACTGGCTCCTCCCCCACTACCGCCGCTGCCACCGCCACTGCTCCCGGTACCACCGTTGCCGCCCCCACCACCTCCGCCACCGCCTCTACCACCGCCTCTACCACCACCCCCCCTCCCCCTCACCACCACCACCACCACCCCCCCTCCACCCCCACCTCCCTTGCCAGCCCCTCTGCCCCTGGCGCTGCGGCGCTTCCCACTAGGAGCGGAAGCAGCCCCAACCTCCTCAGCACCAAGGAAGTCGACAGCAGCAGCAGCAGAGGCGTGGGAGGGGGCAAGGGGGGAGGGGGAGCACCCCTCAAAGAGGGGAGTGCGAGGAGTGCCACGAGCCGCACCTAAAGCAAGGATGTTCTTCTCATTGCAAGGAGCTACGTCTCGAAGTCGTCGACGGTGAGAGTCGTAGGGTCTAGAGCGAGAAAGTGGTCCCTGACTGAGCGAAGAGTGTCAGGGAGGCGGGTGACGAGGAAGTAGAGCGCTAAGTACATCGGAGGGGTGTTCTTGGCGAGGAACTCGTCCTTAAGGGCGGAACGAAAGCGGGTGTCACTAGCGCGCAGGGGAGAGATGAGGTCCTCAGCAGTGTGAAACGAGGACAGGTCGGGGAACAGGTAGGGTAGCATGAGACGACCTAGGGCTGCAGTGGCCGGGGAGGAGTAGCGCGCAACTACAGCGTCATACAGTGCCTTAGCAGTCTTGTGCTGGCTAAAATGCGCGCGCTCGGGGATCGGCAGATGATTGCGAATAGCGAGGCGCGCAGCAGCATCGCGAGTCTGCCACTGTGAGCGGTCAAGAGCAGGAGCATCGTCAGCAGGAGCAACGGCAGTGCCAGACGGGTGAGCGAACAGTGAAACGCCATCTTTGGCATCAGTCATAAGAAACAGTTGGAGGTCGTTGAGCCACACTGTAAACTCTATTGGGCTATCGTCAGGCTCAAACGCGAGAACGTGAGGCGTTGTCATAATCGCAGTACAGGTAAAGGCAGCAGGCAAAGGCAGTAGGTGATGACAGCAGGCAGAGGCAGCAGGCAAGGGCAGCAGACACATGCAGCAGGCAAAGGCGGCGCGCAGAGCAGCAGTAGACCACACGCAGGCTGCAGAGGCACGGCGCAAGCAGGCAGGGCGGCGCGCAGGGTTGCAGCGGGTCACGCGCAGGCTGCTAAGGGACGGCGCGGGCTGTGCGGGCGGTGCCGCGGGGTAGGAGCGGGCCGCGCGCGAGCTGCGCGAGCTCGGCGCGGGTTGCGCAGGGCAGCAGCGGGCGGCGCGCGGGCTGCACGGGCTCGGCGCGGGCTCTGCGCGGGGCAGCAGCGGGCTCGGCGCGGGCTGCTGCGGGACGCGCGCGGGCTGCGCGGGCTCGGTGCGGGCTGCGCGGGCGGTGCGCGGGGCAGCAGCAAGGCGCGCGCGTGCTGCAAGGGCGATGCCTGTGGGGCAACAGTAGACAGCAGGCAGCGCGCGTGAATTAGGTATGCGCGCGAAGCAGCAGCAGACAGCGCAGACAGCAGACAGCAGGCAAACGGCGCGCGCAGCGCAGCACGTCACTGTCAAAGTCACAGTCACAGTCGTGGGGTAGCGGTAGGTGGGCCCGAAAAAAAAGACGGTCCTACGGACCTACTGCTCTGAAACCATGTCAGAAACTAGAGACAGGAATGATTGAACTAGAATGTGGTTATCCCGAACTGCTCCGTAACGGGTACAAAGGGGACGACATCTGCTGCTGCCTCGTCTGGCTGTTCTCCTGCCACATCGACGTCATTCTCGTCATTGGTGTAGCTGTGCTGCCCCTAAAAAATGTTGGGTACAAGTAGGAAACCCTAAGTTTGTGTACCCTCTAAGGTGCAACCCACTACAGCCTACACAACTTAAACATACAATGACTGACACACCCCCATAGGCACAGTGGGAGACAACCAGAGGGTCACGAGACCAGTCAAAGCAAAGCAAAACAAGCTCAGGGTGGATCTCAAGGATACCACACAAATTCCGAGCACAAGCAAGCGGTCACAAGACCAGTTCACATACAGTTTGATAATATAACAAGAGATACAGTGATCACAACCTAGCAAGTGTAAACATGCAGGTATATATATAGAGATCACAGTACAAGCAGAGTCAAGAAGTAAGCAAGTGAGGTCCAGCAGGCACAAGGCCTAGAAGAGTACAGAAACGCTGATGGTCACAAGGCTGAAGCGCCTTGGTGAACACATCAGCAGTGTTGGCCCGAGTGGCCACGTAACGCAGACGAAGCTGACCGCGCTGCTATAACTCTCGAGCAAGGAAGTAGCGTAGAGCGATGTGCTTCGTTCTGTGCTCCAGTCTGTGCTCCTCACACAAGGCAATGGCAGCCTTGTTGTCGACGTACAGCACTGGAGGAGAACGAGGCCGCTCTCCCAAGTCGGTCAGCAGGTAGGTGAGCCAGCGTAGCTCCTGGGCTGCCATGGCTGTGGCGTAGATCTCAGCCTCACAACTGGAGCTGAGGACAGAAGAAGAGCGTGTAGAACGCCAAGAAACTGAACCAGAGCCAAGACTGAAGGTGTAACCTTGAGACGACCGCTGAGTAGCCTGGTCGTCCGCCCAAGAAGTGTCTGAGTGTCCAGTGAGTACAACTCGGTCTCGCCCTCCAAGCACTAGCCCCATGCCTGACGTACTGCACAAGTAGCGCAACACCCTCTTAGCAGCATCCATGTGCTCCTTCCTGTGACGGCCAGGAGCGATATAGCGTGCAAGGATGCTAAGAGGGTATGCAAGGTCAGGTCGAGCTCTGGATATGGGCCACTCGGCTCTACGGACTCATCCGAAGGCAGAGCTGAGAGCGAGTGACCGGTAGGCAGAGGAGTGGGCTGAGGCGAGGAGTACGTGAAGCGGAAGCGCTGAAGGACCTGCTGCACCATGTGTGACTGAGTCAAGGTGATGGTGCGCCGTGCTCTGTCCCGGGTGATCCGCAAGCCAAGATAGCTTGTCAGTTCACCCAGGTCTGTGCACGTGTGTCTCTTCTGCAGCTCCAACTTCACGTGGGCGAGTGCCGTAGTGTCAGCAGTGGCAAAGACCAAGTCGTCGACGTACACGAGGATGTAGAACGGCGGCAGCGAGGTGTCGGTGCGTAGAAACAGCGACGGGTCAGCAGTAGAAGGAGTGAACCCAAGAGCCGCAAGTGTCGTCCTCAGTGTGTCGTGCCACTCACGTGGCGCCTGGCGGAGACCGTAGACTGGCCGCCAGAGGCTCCACTGGGTACCAGGAGGAAACGACCCAGTGAAGCCAGGAGGGCGGCGCAACCAGATCTCCTCGTGCAGGCTGCCCTGCAAGAAAGCTGTGTTGAAGTCAAGTGAGTGAAGCTCGTAGTCGCGCTGAGCGGCTATGTGCAGCAGAACCCGAAGAGTGGTCATCTTCGGGGTGGAGGAGAAGGTCTGGAAGAAGTCAACTCCCTCTCGCTGACTGAAGCCTCGAGCAACGTAACGCGCCTTGAAGACAGGAGGAGAACCCGGTGGCCGCTTCACTCTGAAAATCCACATGCCACTGACGATGTTCGCCCCAGGTGGGGGAACCTCATCGACGTAGGTGCCTGTGGACTTCCACGAAGCCATCTCTGCGTCCATGGCTGTCTGCCACTGAGAGGAGTAGGGACCCTCCATCGCCTCTGCGTAAGAGCGCGGAGTCGGGATGTCTGGTGCATCCGGGTCTCCCTCAGGGGCAACTAGCATGGACACAAGATGGGGCAAAGCAGCAGCAAAGCACTGGAACTCCTCCTGCCTGTCCTCAAGGACGTCCGTGCCAAGAGCACACTCACCCCCGACGGACAGAGGACAGACAGACTCAGACTCAGCAACAAGGCTAGCGGCGTAGTCTAGACGACAGGCAGCAGCAAAGTCAACCAACTCAGCGATCAGAGCAGACGCAGCAGAGAACTCAAAGGTAGGGTCAGTGACAACAGTGGCGAGGAGACGCGTGACAGTAGGACGGGCAGCACGAATGGAGTCAGACTCCGGGTCAGAAAGAGTAGGAAGAGAGGACGCAGGAGGAGACAGCAGAGGGACACGCTGAGGAGCAGTGGAGGGACGCAGAGTCATGTAGTGAGTGCCAGGGATAGGAGAAGAACGCTCACGCGGGACACGACGACCAGTGCGAGCAGCACGAACAGGCGACGCAGAGCGAGACGCAGGCGACACAGGACGAGACTCAGGCTCACGACGCTCCGTAAGACCTCCTGTAGGACCAGTGTAAGGAGAAGGACCAGGGAGAGGCGAGGCAGGCGGTAACTGTAACTGCGACTGGACAGGCGGAGGACACTCTAAGGAGGGAGGAGGACAAGGAGGAGGAGTCTGACCAAGAACCTGCTGAAGGAGCGGCACGAAGTACGGTCGCGGTCACGTAGAGTCTCCAGAACCAGCAGAGACACCAGCGCCAGGGTCCTCAGCACCAGCAGCAGCTCCAACGCCCGGGTCCTCAGCACTTGCCACAGCTCCAACTCCAGGGTCCGCAGCACCAGCAGCAGCTCCAACGCCAGGGTCCGCAGCACCAGCAGCAGCTCCAACGTCCGGGTCCTCAGCACCAGCCACAGCTCCAACTCCAGGGTCCGCAGCACCAGGAGCAGCTCCAACGCCCGGGTCCTCAGCACCAGCCACAGCTCCAACTCCAGGGTCCGCAGCACCAGCAGCAGCTCCAACGCCCGGGTCCTCAGCACCAGCCACAGCTCCAACTCCAGGGTCCGCAGCACCAGCAGTAGCTCCAACTCCAGGGTCCGCAGTACCTCCAGTAGCACCAGCAGCACCGGAGTCCGCGACACCAGGAGCGCCACTCCGAAGACTGCAGCGCCGTGTGTACCACTCTCGGATCCGCTGAAGGGAGGGCAGCTCCCGTCTAGGAGGGGAAGCACTAGTACCAGCTCCAGCAGCACTCCTGGCTCCAGAAGCACCGCTCCTAAGGCTGCAGTACTGTAAGTACCTCTCCTGCAGCTGCTGCGAGGAGAGGGCTCCTCCAGGTGTAGTACCCCCAGACTCAGCACCCCCAGACTCAGCACCCCCAAACTCAGGACCCCCAGACTCCGCACCCCCAGGCTCAGCACCCCCAGGCTCAGCACCCCCAGACTCCGCAACCCCAGGCTTAGCACTCTCAGACTCCGCAACCCCAGGCTCAGCACCCCCAGGCTCCGCACCCCCAGGCTCCGCACGCTCGAACTCAGCACCCCAGTAGGACGAGAGTCGACAGCTACCTCGACAGGCTCAACCGGGTCTACCTGGGACACACCTGAGGGAGCGGCACCCTGAGGGGGGAGGGGGTCTAGCACAGCAGCACCTGGAGCGAGGAAGAGAGGCGGAGGGGGGAGCGGGGTAGTGCGGTAGGGGAAGAGGCGGTAGTAGGGGACGGACTCGTCAAAAGTGACGTCCTGAGAGGACAGGACACGGCGCGAGGTGGCGTGGTAAAACTGCCAACCAGACGCGTCCGGGACAAAGCCAAGGAAGACACAAGGAACTGCGCGAGAGGAGAGCTTGTCCGCGGACGTATTACGAACAAAAGCTCGGGATCCCCAGACCCGAAAACGCGACGCATCTCCAACCTCTCCCGTCCAACGCAGTGTCGGGGAAGTCTCCGGCAAGGAGACACGGGGCCAGAGGTTGAGCTGATGCGCAGCGTATCGGACTGCAAACGGCCACAGAAAGTGGGGGGCAGCCGCATGGATCAAGGAGGTACGAGCGACCTCCATGACCAAGCCAATGCGGCGCTCAGCAACCCCATTCTGCTGTGGAGAGGCCGGAAGCGTGAACGACTGCGCAATGCCGTGCTCCGCACAGTAGGCTGCCAAGAGGTCGGAGGAGAACTCACCACCTCTGTCAGAGTGCAAACGCAGGACAGGAAAGTCCGAGCGGAAACGCTCGCTGAGCTGGAGACGAGCTCTGCTGATCCAAGGGATCAAGACATCAGGGACCTCACCCTTGGTGCGCAAGGGGAAGACCGTGGTGTAGCGCGAATAGTCGTCAACAACTATCAGGAAGTACCTCTCCTGACCCTGTCCACGGACGCGGGCTGGGCCCCACACGTCCATGTGGAGCGTCTGCAAGGGAGCAGTCGTCGGGGGAAAGGAGGAGTGAGGAGCGGCGTGCTGCCGCCCCTCGACACAGGGAAGACAGGGAGGAGCAGGCGAGGGTGGGAGGGGAGGGAGAACCCTGGGAAGACCAGAGACAAGGTACCGTTTGTGCATGGCACGAAGGCGCTGCACAGACGGGTGACCAAGTCGGTGGTGCCAGAGGACGGTCTCGTGCGCCAGAGAGCGACACGAGCAGGGGGCCGACAGCTGACCTGACGCAGACGCAGACGCAGCTACCTGAGGGGACTCAGTGGTCAGTGTGTACAGGTCCGACCCCGGCTGCCGAGTGAAGGTAGCCAGGTGACAGCTCGTCCGAGCACACGTGCAGTGTGTCACGTGCTCGTAGGCAGGGGTGAACTGGTGAACACCCCCGTCCTGGAGCGCACAACCCGCCACCAAGTTCGTAGAGAACGAGGGGAGGTGGAGACCTGACAGTGTGCCCGACGGGACCGCAGGACAAGGAAGGACAGTGGAGGAGGTCGCAATGACCGGACCCCCAGAGGGGTCAGCGAGGGAGACAGCAACTGGCTGAGCGAGTGGCTCAAGGATAGTGCGGTCACGAAAGAAACAGCGAGAAGCACCTGAGTCCAGTGTGAAGGTGTGCAGTGCCGCAGTCGACTCAGTACCAGGGGGCACAGACTCACGAGCACCTAGAGCAGCAGCCGCACCAGCACCTGGGGTAGTAGACACGCGAGTACCTGGAGTGGTAGTCTCACTAGCACCTAGAGCAGTAGCCTCACCACATGGTCCGAATGCCCGGGTCGGGCGGAACACACAGGTACTGAGCACCCTCTCCACTAGTAGACATCACATACATGGCAGTGAGAATAGCATCAAAGTCTAGAGCATAGATATCAACTCCCTTCTTCATCAGATCAAACCAGCGGGGCAGCTCAGTGGCATCAGGGAACTGAGTGCGCCAAGCGTCGTCAAGGCGCGAGAAACAGCGCTGCGTGGTATGCGCCCTCCCACACGTCTGACCAGTGCGGTCACCAGTGCGGATGACGTACGTGCAGCTAAGTCCACCCCCCCCCCCCCGTTCTGAGAGTACCACTCACGGGCCTCCTGGGGTGACGGAGTGTGCTGCTGGCTCTGGCCACTGCCAGCGCCTCCACGACCACCACCGCCGCCGCCACCTCCTCGACCACCCCCTCCCCTGCCGCCTCCGCGACCACCGCCGCCTCCACCACCGCCCCCGCCCCTGCCACCGCCCCCTCCGCTACCGCCACCACCCTCACCGCTGCCACCAGTCGCTCCAGCCCCACCACCACTCCCACCGCCGCCACCGCCTCCACCACCGCCTCCCCCGTAGTCACCTCCGCCTCCCTTGCCCCCTTTGCCCCTGCGGCGCCCGCTCGAAGCAGACGCAGTCCCGACCTTCTCAGCACCAAGGAGGTCGACAGCAGAAGCAGAGGCTACAGAGGGAAGAAGGGGGGAAGGGGAACACCCCTCAAAGAAAGGGGTGCGGGGGTCGCCACGAGAGGCACCTACAGCGACTATGCTAGCCTCAGCTGCAAGTAGTTCCTTCTCGAGGAGGGCAATGGTGAGCTCAGTGGGGCAGCGAGCTAGGAAGTGATCCCTGACTGCACGCAGAGAGTCAGGGAGGCGGGTGACTATGTGGTAGAGAGTGATCCAGAGCGGGGGGGGGGGGGTTCTTAGCAAGGAACTCATCGGGCATAGCGGCACGGAAGCGGGCCTCACTAGTTTTGAGGTGCGTGATGAGGTCAGCAACTGTGTGAAAAGAGGCCAGGTCGGGGAACAGGTAGGGGAGTGAGAGGCGGCCTAGTGCGGCAGAAGCAGGTGAGGAGTAGCGGGCAACGACAGCAGTGTACAGTTCCTTAGCAGTCTTGTGCTGGCCAAAGTGCTCGCGCTCATCGATCGGCAGGGAGTTGCGAATAGCAAAGCGAGCGTGGGCGTCACGAGTCTGCCACTGTGAGCGGGCAGTGCTGTCAGCAGTAGTAGCAGAGGCAGTAGCATGGCTGAGGGCATGATCGTACAGTGAGATGTCCTCCTTGGCAGTGAGCTGTAGGAAGAGGTGCAGGTCATCTAGCCAGGTGTCAAATTTCACTGGGCGGCCCTCAGCATCGAAAGCTAGCACAGGAGGACTAGCCATAGTATCAGTAGGAGTAGTAGATGCACCCTAACAACAGTAAGTAGCGCGACTCAGGTAGGGCTGTCGCGTGCGAGGCGGTAAGGGGCGACGGGGCCGCTAAGGCGTGGGTGCGCGTGGGGTCGACGGGGCCGTTAAGGGAGGCGCGCGGGGTCGACGGGGCCAGCGGGGCCTTTAGGCGGGGTGTGCGCGGGGTCGACGGGGCCTCTAAGCGGGGCGCGCGCGGGGTCGACGGGGCCAGCGGGGCCTCTAAGCGGGGCGCGCGCGGGGTCGACGGGGCCAGCGGGGCCTCTAAGGGGCGGGGTGCGCGCGGGGTCGACGGGGCCAGCGGGGCCTCTAAGCGGGGCGCGCGCGGGGTCGACGGGGCCAGCGGGGCCTCTAAGGGGCGGGGTCGACGGGGCCGACGGGGCCTCTAAGCGGGGCGCGCGCGGGGTCGACGGGGCCGACGAGGCCTCTAAGCGGGGCGCGCGTGGGGTCGACGGGGCCAGCGAGGCCTCTAAGGGGCGGCGCGCTGGGTCTACGGGGCCGTGAAGGGGCGACGCACGGGTCGCTAAGGGGCCGTGGAAGAGAGGCGCACGAGGGCGCTGGGGGGGAGGCGCTAGGGAGTGCTCCGACAGTAAGGCGCACGAAGGCGCTAGTAGGCAGTCAGTAGTGGTGGGCCCTTAAAAAAATTAGGTCCTAGCGAAGGACCTGCTCTGAAACCATGTCAAACTGAATGACGCAGGAATGAATCAACTAGCAGAAAGTTGGGAACAAGTAGGAATCCCTAAGTTTGTGTACCCTCTAAGGTGCAACCCACTACAGCCTACACAACTTAAACATACAATGTTTGACAGTCTGGTGCGTTCTGTGTAGTGCGATGCTGGCGGCACAGTGGTAGGGTCAGTCTTTCGTAGAAGATGCAGTCACGTGAACGGGTGAGTTGGTGGGTGGCGAAGTCCAAAATTGTCCAAGCGTGGTATTTGGATTTGATTCCGAGATGAATGCCCCAGCGGGCACGGTCTTCAAATTTTCCAGTGCAGGCAGTGTGGGGGCGGTACTGTACCATGCACCCGAACACTCGCAGCATACGAGTGTCAGGGTGTTTTCCGGTCCACTCCTTGAAAGGAGAACTGTTCTTGGGTAGTGCTTTTGAGGAGAGCATGTTGTACAGACGAACTGCATGCGCCATCGCGTAGGCCCAATACTTGGTTGGCACAGCTGACTACTTTATGAGGGCTTGCAATTTTGTCGCGAGGCCCCTGTTGGTTCGCTCTGCCAATCCCTGCTGTTCGTGAGCGTAGGGAAGCGATATCATCCTCTTGATGCCCTTCTGTTTGCAGAGGGTTTTGAAGTCCTCCGACATGTATTCTAGAGCTCCGTCTGTCTAGAACGCCTTCACCTTGTGTCCGTCGCTCTGAGTCTCTACCATTCTGAGCCAGACTTCGAAGCACTGGTAAGCAAGGTAGCGATCGCTGACGTTTACAGCCCATACAAAGCGTGTGCCAGCATCGATGAAGGTGAGTGTGTACTGCTCCCCTCCGACTCCTTTCGCCATGAGCACCAAGAAATCGCTGTAGACTTTTTCCAACGGTTTGTAGCGTCCCGGTATCTTCTCGGCGAATGGCGTGTGACGTAGCGCGGCTGCCAGACAGACAGTGCAATTGGGTAAGTCAGTTCTTGGCTTCAGCGACTTTCCATCTGGCAGCAACAGTGCGTCTTCCGCAAAGACTTTTGCGTTGATGCAGTTGTTGAGCACCTCGATTGATGGGTGACCCATGCGTTGATGCCAGATGTCGCCGTCGGCCCGATATCCCCTGGTGCGAGTGTATAGTTCCTTTTCCCGTGCCAATATCTCTTCTGCAGTCTCCTTTCTGGTTTCGTCTGCAGGTTCGTCGAGCACTGTGATGTGGACTGCTGCTGCTTGAAGTGTCGTGCCGTGATACGTTCTGCTGGTATCGCCGATGGTGACGGTGCCATTTGTTACTGGCAGCTCCAGTGGTCCTTCAGGAGGCGAGGGGGAGTTTCATGGGCGACGATCTTCGAGTTGCGTGGTTTCTCCTTCTTCGAAGATGGTGTCGCCGATTGCCACTCCCCTTGTCTCAAGGCGGAGGTAATCCCTCCCATCCGTCGTGATGGGAATTAGGTGAGGTCCGTACTCTGTTAGTGACTCTTCTTCCTCTGCTTCTGGTGCGTCCTCAGTAATTTCTGGTTCTTCGGCTGCCTCCGCTTCTTCTGCTGCAGGTCCTTCGGCGATGTTTCCCCATCCAGTTTTGGCTGCAACGGCTTCTCCCAGTGCAGTATTTTCCATGACCCAGTGTACATCGACAGCGTCCCAGCCTTGGGTGGTGTTCCAGCCGGTAGGTTGTGGAACAGAAGGCCAAGGTGGTTGCGTAGTTTCCGTGTCTGTTGCTTCGGTTGTTGCGACTGCCGTGCCCTCTTCTCCCTCTTCCACTGCTTGTGGTCCGGTGTCTCCAGGGTTCGTGGTTGAGGCAACGGGTACGGCAAGAGCGCGGAAGGTGCCATCGAGGCCCAGTCGTTGATAGTCAGTTTTGAACAGAGGGCAGTTTCGCTGACGGTTCCTTGAGTGCGAAGGAGCGATTTGCACTGACGCCATTCCTGGATCAATTCAGTGAGAATGATCGTGACGAACATGTCGTCAGGGAAGTTCCCGCTGCTTTTCCTGAACTGAGGTTGATGTAGCAGCGGTTGATGTAGGATCCGGCCTTTTCGCCGGGGAACATCTTGACGTTGTTCAGCTGGTTGAGCAGGCAACTAAGTGTCACCGAATCTGTTGCCATGTGGCAGGTGCGCAGGTGTTCCCAGGACTGTTGCGCGGGTGCCCACTCGTTCTTGAAGGGGCGAATGCTTAGTTGTTCTTCAGGCGACAGGTTCCGGATCAATATGGTGAAGGCCAGGAGAGATTCGTTGTAGTACTGCGTCTTCTCCTGAGGTGAGCCGTCGTAGTACATCCAGATCTGAGCGCCTTGAGCTAGTAGCTCGAATTCGAAGCTCCAGGTGTAGAAGTCTTGTCCGTCGAAAGGTTTTGAGCTTCGACGTTGAAAGGAACTTGCTCTGCATTGACGCCATTGCTTCGTAATGCAACTGTTGTGCTTGAGCAGATCCTTAAGCTCCGCGATTGTCGAAGGTGAAGGATCGTTCAGATCCAGCTCCTTGAGGGTCGGAAGGCTTTCGGGCGTAGCTGGAGCCGTCGATGCTCATCGACTGATGGCTCTCCAGTGCGGTGATGCGGGAGATCAGCTGCTCGAGGAGCGCTGTATCCACAGGCGTTGTAGTAGAGGCGACATTAGTGGAGGGTTGCACTGGATTTTCTCCAGCTTCTCCGCAGTCAGCGCCTGACATTGTGATAGCCCTTGATGTCGTTGATGTTGAAAGCTTAAGTTATAAAGAAGATTGTTTGAAGGCCCTTTTAGCAGCTCCTATAATCCAACCTGGCTCTCATACCATGCTAGAGTGAGGATCTTGGATAGGATAGGAGTTGCTTAGGAGAGTTTGGTAGCGGAAGTCTTTGTAGGAACTCTGATTATAGTGAATGTAGATGACAAAGTTGATGAAAGGATAGAATTCAAGCAATATAAATAGTCCTAACTAGCCATGTACTCTAAGGGGTACATTCCCTTATTGTAACTGTCTTACAGGCAATTCTACCGTGACTCCGACTATTACTCTTCTTTTCTTGTTACCGAGTCGCTGCTTGTAACCGTGCGTACGGTTACGCATATTGCCATTCCACGATGGTAAGTCAACCGTCGGTCCAGATGGTCAACAGTCGCGACTGCGACTGTTGACCTTCCTGCCTTGATATAGGCTGATCCGACACTTGCTGCTCGCGCTGCTTCGATAATGACAGGTGCGATGTAGCTGCACCTTCGGGAATGCTTAAGTGAGATTCCCCTCATAGTCCAACAACGCCTTTGCGCGACACATTTCCAAAACTACAGACTGCTGGGCTGACCTGAGTCGGCCTAAACTTTGGGATTAGCCCAAACCTCACTGCCAGCATTGAACTAGTTAGCTCACAAACGCCACGTTATCGCTGTTGTTATTGTAAAACTATATATATGCTGTAGTATAATCCGTAGGCTGTGGTGGGCTAGCCCATATGGGGAACAACCCAATGTTAGGGTTTCTATTTGTACCCAACCTTTCTCATAGTTCATAATCCTGCTAGTTCATTCTGAAATGGTTTCAGAGCAGTAGGTCCGTAACCCCGTGTGTGTTTTTGTTGTTGTTGTTGTTGTTGTTGTTGTTGTTGTTGTTGTTGTTGTTGTTGTTGTTGTTGTTGTTGTTGTTGTTGTTGTTGTTGTTGTTGTTGTTGTTGTTGTTGTTGTTGTTGTTGTTGTTGTTGTTGTTGTTGTTGTGCTCCATGGGCTGAACAAGCACATGCATATCAAGTGGCATTGGGTGAGGAAGGAGGTGAAGAAGGGCACGGTCTCCTTGCACTACATCAACACTACCAAGCAACCTGCAGATTTTTTGACCAAGCGGCTTGCAGAGCATCAGCATTGGACCTGTGCCACCTTGTGTGGCATGTCCTTCAACTAAGAAAGGCAGCTTCAGGGAGCAGCTAAGGGATGAATGAGAGCACGATGAGGGGGAGTTTGTTGTGCCAACACATTACAGTGGCACGGTCATCGCACTCCCATTCGGCCTACAAGCCTGCTCAGCTTCTGGAATTTTGTGGGGAGGCTCTTCAACATGTGTTCTTCGAACCCTCAAAGTTTCAGAGTTTTTGAAGCAGTTAACAAGGCGTGACAACATTTTAAGTTTCAAGACTTATGGCATCCCGGAAGTGTGTGTTACTCTTTTTTGGTAACACCCGAGTTCACCATTTCGGCTGCTGACTCGTCTACCGAGCTCTGATTGGTCTGAAATTCGGTCTGGCAGTCCTTTGCCCCGTTGTGCAGGTGTTCACCAAGTTTCAGAACGATCCAAATTTGGAGCATTGCGTGACAGCTGTCGAAAGTTACTGTTCCGTAGTCATGGTGCACTGTTGGCAGCAT